CAAAAGTGAAACTTTTTTGTGAAAACAGGGAGTTTTCTTTTTATAGCTATGTGAATTTACAGATAAATATGGTTATATACACGTTTATTAAAGGGTTTTATTTTGTTATTTCTCATCACAGTTATTTTTTTTTATTTGAAAATTCTACATTTAATATTACTCAACATTTGAAGTTATTTTCATTTTTATCAGACCGTTTTTTAAACATTTGTATTATTTTAAATGCATTCATTCATTCATTGACAGAGAAACTGGCTCAATAAATGAATGCCAGAGAGCGCTTTTCCCTTGATCTAGTTTTACAAGCTATTACCGTAACGCCTAGTTCATGCGCGCACCACAAAACAACGTGGCGGCTAGAATGACCGTGTTTTTCAAAGTGGAGGCTGGCCTGACCGCAGTGAATTTTTACTGTTGGATGAACCATCCCTTTAGGTCACTCCAAAATTTCTGAATGTGATAGCATAAGTTAAAGAAACATTAACTCAAGTTGCATTTACTGTAAAGATAGCACACGCACCCATTCAAGTATTTCACACACACACACACACACAAAAATAAAAGTTTGTTAGGTTGTAACTGCTAAAAAATAAAAATGCTGTACAAAAAGCATTACATGGGCCCCCCAGGAGCAAGACCAACATACTCTCTTACCAGATCTTCCTCATGATCCCCTTCATCGCCTGCCGCGCGCGTAAAGAGCGCCTTCTGTTGCTCGGCCAGTAACAGAGCCGCGGATGAGGACGGACTGTCACGCAGGGTGTCCTGTTTCTCCTGAAGGATGCTTCCTTTCAGCTCGCGACTCATGTCTTCTATCACATCGACTGCGTTCTCTGGACGCTCATCCATAACTTTAGTTAACAGTCGCAAGAGGTGGTCATAGCTGGACGAAGAGGTTCAGGAGCATCAGCAATCAACACGTGTCAGCTATGACCAATGTTTACTGAACACTACCGCTATTGGATGGATTCCTTTAAGGTAATTAAGGCATGCGTAAAATGAACGAAGCTAGATTTAATACATTAACTGCAAAGATAAATGCGAGCTCGGGGCATGTTGTCACAAGGTGTCTCAACATGCCTGTATCATAACTTTTTATATTGGCAATAATGGTGGAAATGTGTTTCGAACTTCCAATAAAGGTCCTCTGTTAAGATATATAACGGTGCTAAAATACTAAATTAATAATAAGAATACCCTAAAAAAAATAATACTAGGACTGGAATAATGTATGAAGCTAATGTGATGATGTACTTACAGATTGAGGTTTGTTTTAGTGCTGTTCTTCATCATGAAAGCTTTAAAACGCGCCGCGGCCTGCAGTCTCTCATTATTCAACGCTTCCTCAGTGATCTCCATTTTACTAACTGTCGCCGACTAATTAAAACCGAATATTTGTTCAGCTTATTCTTATGGCAAATCTCGATTAACATCAAACCGGCTTAGCAAAACATTAGAGCATTTCCCGCAGCTCACTTCCGTTGCTATGGATTCTGCAGTGTAACTACAACAAACTTGTTGCCTGGCAGCGTCTTTATTCTGATTGGCCGAATGCTGATCCGAATGCGGTCAAAATTAACAATCATGAGAGACTAAAGTACAGAGACCAATGATTTGTTTCTCATATTTACTGGTTGGAGATGGCCTTTTATTCTAGAAATGAAAACAGTGTGGCACATTCAAAATCTATTTATTTTCAAACTAATTTGAACAATTCGTAACCTCTAAGAAATAAACCAAAATATTCCATTTCATTTTTACTTCTAACTTAAAGATACATAGTACACTGAACAAAGCAGTATAGAAAGAGACATCTTTTCAATGTCAGTGCTTCCATTCAGTCTTATTTCAAATGGCATCAGTCCACACTGCTTTCTCCTGCTTCTGGAACAACATCCTCAGACTCATCTTTGGGTTGGTCAGCCACATCCACAGGCATCGCAGCAGACTCTTCCATGGGTTCATCTGTCTTCTCTGAAATGGAGTTGGAGTGTGATGCCTCCTCAGACACCTCCACCTGCTGAAGGTTAAAGTCAATGGTCAGCCAGTGCTATTCACTCTTGTACTGGTCTGCATGGGTGCCATGAATGATGATGATTAAAATGTTTTACCTGTGATGCGGCTTCAGACATGACCTCCAGAGCAGCATGGTCTGTCTCTTCCCGCTCCATGGGTTCTTCTACTTCTTCCCTCCTGGGGATCTGTTGTTGTGGTGGTGGTGGTGGTGGTGGTTCAGTAAACTCTACCGGTGTCGGGGCTGGAGGTTCTGCTTGTGATACTGGTGCAGGCATTGATATATGCTTTGGTACTGGCACCTTAATGAACAAAAGTGGACAAGACAGACAGTATTTAATTGGTGGATTATCCAAAGTCATGAACATTAAACTCATTTCTGTAATGTTCATGGTATTGTGTAGAGATCGACCAATATAATAACCGGTTTATGTGGCTGATAACTAATACTTTCGAAAATTGATATTTAATTAGAATGTGATAACTTCAGTGTAAATGAAAGACTTCTCTCTGGTGACATATGCTAGACTTCTCCAATCATTTAGTCTGCCTAAACCTACCCCTTCATAATCGACGGCAAGCTTGCATTCAGCTTTTTGCATTCAACAATCTCCAAATGCAAATCAACAACCCATGAGTAGAATCATAAGACCAACCTACATTTTGTCTAGTTTCGATAATCTATTACACTCGGATATACATCACAAAACAGAAGAAAAGATCTGTCACGGCTTCCGTTTCATTGCAACATACCTCTCTCTCTTCTATTATTTCTGGATGATGAAGTTCAGGTTGTGGTTCAGGTTCCGGCTTCCTGCTGTTGGCCTCCAGAACGGCCATTATAGATGCTGGAATGTGGGCTTGCTACAGAAACAATAAAACAACACGTTTAAATCAAAATGATTTAGAAGTGAAAATGTATAACAGGTTTAATAAGTTCTCTCTTCTAAAACACTTCACACACAAACTATTTCCACTTCCTACTATTCATAACTATGTTTTGGAATAGTAATATGATACAATAAAAAAATTATTTAGCATATTGTGCATGTGTTTCATGTATCATCTAAAATAATAATAATAATAATAATAATATACATAAATATTAATGCATAACATTTAGAAATATTATATTAATAAATATTATTTAATAATACATTTTGCAACTTATTTTTGTTGTTGTTTTCAATATAATTTTAGTTGAAGTTTATAATTATGTTTTTGTTAACATTAACATGTATAAATTAATACTGTAATATACTATAATATTAATACATATTAATATTTTAAATCAGCTTTTATTTTTCTATTTTCAATTTTCAATAATTAAAAAAAAAAAAGTTTGTCATCTGTGCTTGTGACATTTCTTTTTCATATTTCTATTTGACTGAATTGTTTGTAATTTTAAAATTTTAAAACTTATTTTATTAACATTTCACATTTTCATGAATATTTAGATTTTATTTCAGCTTAATTTGAATGAATTTCAACAATGTTTTATGTTTCAATAGTTTTAGTTAACGATAACACCTGTGTACACAGTATATACTGATGACAGGTCTCACTGACCATTCATTTCCCAGATAACACCTATTCAGGATAAAACCTGCAACCTTTGTGATACGCACTTGGTGAGGGGTGAAGGAGTGAACGTGCTGTAGGAGAGGCTCCCTCATCTCCGGGCAGCGCTCAAACACACTAGCCAGTTGTGGTGGAGGCAGCTGGAGGAGAACGTTGTAGGACTGGGGTTTGGTGCGCTGGCAGCACTTTACAAAGCCCTCCCACACTTTAGGATATTTCCACACCTGCACGATCAATCAACAGTCAATCAGCAAACATTATCCTGAGAGATGAGTATGATGAGATTATGTATGAGAACTGCACCGATTATGAGCATAAAGGGTTCAGTCCATTGACCTGTTTGAGGATGAGTCGGGCTAGAACGTTCATGACGAAACCAGCCAGGCGAGGGTACATCGTGAGGGACTGGATGACCGTGCGCATCAGCAGTATAGGGAGAGGGGTCTGCTCCATCAACTGCTGCATCACCACGGCCAGCACCTCGGACGTGTACACATTCTTCTCCCCAAAACACAGGTTAGTGGCTACAGAGGGAAAATGAGAAAAAAACATTAAAGAGGGTGAAAAGAAAAGCAAAAGGGTGAATGAAAGAATTCTCACTACATTGGAGCCATTTAAGGGGGCATTATCCTTTAAAATTTTGATTATTAATATATTCAATTTCACATAAACTACACTAAATTCAACTAATAAAACTAGAGCTCACCAACATATGTTGGGGCTATTGATCAATTTAAAAAAATGGATTAAATCAGGTTTCTGTACACTAAAATATGTATAGTTGTATATAATTTGTAGATCATCGATATATTTTCAGATTGATTTTATTTTTATCATTTATTAACAATTACAGAATATTAAAAATATATAACGACTGCTTTTATATGTATGCATACACTGGCGTTCAAAGTTTGGGATCGAAAGTTAGCCATTCAAAAGCTGAATTTTCATCAGCCATTTCTCCAGTCTTCAGTGTCACATGATGCTTTAGAAATCTCTCAGAGTGGAAAATGGTGAGAAATGGAAGCATTTAACAAATTTTGCTGAAACAAAAAAGATGTAAAAGGTTGGATTTACGTGCAGGGGTGGTGGATTTATGTGAGATGATACCTTTGATGATTGACTTCATGTCACACTTGGAAGAGTCAATGTTGTGCAAGGCGATGAGGAGCTCTCCAGGAGTGAGCGGAGATATGGAGGAACTGCCCTCACCTACAGAACAGACAAACCCTTAAGTTCACTAGAATTCTACTGATCTAGAGCAAAACATGAGATTGAAATGACACCATTCTGAAAAGAACTTCAAACAAACCAATAATAGAAAATGAAAGCCACCTAATTTTTGTCAACATCATCACATGCACAAGAAAATAAGCAGGTATTACTATGTTGAGTGCCCAGCAGTCTGTTGAACACCTCCTTCACCACAATAGGATTGAGTTTGATGAGTTTGGGTAGAGCCTGGATCACCTCGTTCTGTTCAACACAATCAAGGCACCATTATGAATGCGGTTTAAATTATTAAAATGATTAACAATTAACGCTACGGTATTATCTTTTCCCCACAGGCAGGATGCTTGCACATTGCAAGCTCCATCTGGCTACTTGGTTTTGATCCTGTCAGAAACCCACTTGTCTCAGTGTGTGATTAAGGAACACAGGTGTAAATGCGTTGATCGAGAAGATCGATGCTCACATAAAAAATACTTATACCAAATGTTTTAACTAGTAAATTTATTACTTATTGTGAAAAATGAATACACAAATAAAATTGTGGAAAGATGTGGAAATAAAAACGAGGAAAGATAAACATCTCTCATTCAAACAGAAAGAGTGCAGATTTGGTATTGACAATGACAGAAACGCCACCAAACATACTACATAAAGGCACAGCTAAATGCGACATTTATTATAATGGGTTTATGTGAATATTGTTTTAAGTTCCCTTCAATTAAAAGTTATTGAAATACTTTTTATATTTTGTAATCTTAATAAATGATAAATAAAAACAACCTGATTATTTGCAGCTCAGGCCTGGCTTTCAATTATACTGTAATGCTGACTGGTTAGAATTATTCCTTTTATCCCCAGAAAGTAAAAAAAAAAACTGGCCTTTATTAAAAGCACTTAAAAGATAACATTATTTGTACTACCAATATTTGTACTACAAATGTACCAATATTTGTACTTTTTAGTAAAAGATAGCATTAAAGGGGTCATATGACGTTGCTAAAAAATAACATTATTTGTGTTTTTGGTGTAATGAAATGTGTTTATGCAATAAAACCCATTATAAACGAGGCATTTGTAGCATCCAGTGGGGACATAATTACTGATTATAATGACTTATACTGTCTTTTTACGCGTTGCATCGCGCCGCGTAAACATAAAACCATGTCTGCATTTGTGATCGGAGAAACGACAAACAACAAGCGCTACTCTACACTGCTCAAAACTCTCGTTTGAATCATCAGTGGCAAATTCTTTAAATATGAAAACTTACTTACAGGCTGTGAGTCAGCATTATTTGTCAGAATATTCACGAACAGCTTGTAACACTCCAAAGAATGTTTGAAATCGCATCATATGACCCCTTTAAACAAATATTTAAAATACTGTATGTACACATTAAAATACTGTCTCCACATTAATTTGAAGATATGAAAATATATTTTAGGATTAGAATTTTTTATGTTAGGAGCGATTAATTCATTGTTTTGTTTAGTTTTATTTTTAAACAATTGACAGCCCTACATAAAACAGATTATTCTAGCTCTGAAATCTAACTAGATGAGCCTTGTTCAGAGCTGCTTTCAACTCCACCCAAGATCGTGTGTGATTCCTTTTATCATGTAAAAAATATGTTTTTAGGCACTTGTCTAACAACACCTAAATATGGGAAATTGAAATTTACTTATTTAACCA